GCGGTGTTTTGGTGAGCATATTCCCGCCACATACCGAATCAATCAGCTGCTTGTCCTCCGGGAAGAGGGCATGGTAGAAGGTTCCCACCTTGAAGGCATCAATAAAACCATGGTTGGGACACTTGAGAAATAGACTGGTGTATCTCTCCCAAGCATCCCTGATGGTCTCATCCTCATCCTGAGCAAAATGGGTAATTTGCTTCTGCAGGTCCGCCGTCTTGGATGAAGGATGGTAGCGAGTGAGGAACTTATCCGCCAGGTTGGCGAACGTGGTGATAGAGCCTGGAGGTCGAGTGTCTAGCCACTCCTAGGCCTGCCCCTCCAGAGTAAATGGGAAGTACCTCAGCTGGATTGCATCGGCTGGGACCCCATTTATCTTGATTCCATCGATGAGCTCGTGGAATCGCCTGAGATGTGATCGGGGGCACTCCCCCTCTTTCCCTCGGAACACCACTGAACCGCGCAGCATTTTGATGACAGAGGTGCTCACCTCAAAGTTATTTGCTGGCACATGAGGGTGTTGTATGGGTGACCTCATGTTCGCAGCCCTGGCGGTCCAGTAATATCCCATGGTCTGCTCCTCGGGAAGGACCACATCATGGTCCTGTGGATCACCCATCTCTTCTTCTTCTTCGACGATTTGCAGCTGTGCTAGCGCCTCCTCCGCAGCCAGTCGCGCCTTTAGAGCCCGCTTGAAGTTCCTGCAGGTTCGTTCAAGCTCCTGGTCTAATGGTAGTAGATCTCCCGACTGGCTACAGGTCATGCACTACCTGCACACAATCAGCAGAAGCAACCCGTGAAGGCACACAGGTGGAAGAGACAAAATGCAGTAAAGAAAAAGCTAGAGTAACAAATTTTCACGTTTCCACAATAACCTAGAGGTTCCCCGGCAAGGGCGCCAAAAACTTGACACGCCAAAACACAACACCAAACTGCGACCAAGTGTAATCGCAGTCCGGGAATGCAGTAAAGTGGCAAGTTCTATTATCAACCCGGGGTCTAGATATACTGCTTACTCCGTGATTATCTATTATCTGGCCAACTAAGTCAAGTGATTGTTGTTTTAAGCAAAAGCAGTAAGAAAGCAGGAATTGGTACGGTTTTCTCAAGCAAAGAAGAGTCACTCGGGAATGAGTCCCCCTAGCTCCTTAGTTAGGTCTCAATTGTAATTACCTTGGGTTGATTTACTGTTGATAAGACTGCGGAAGATCCGACAGTAGCTTGGAATCTCTTAAGCTGGCCAAGCCCTCTCAGTCTAACTATCCGGCAGACGACTAGTCTTCACCGGGATAGAAAGCTGAAGCAATAAGCACAGAACTCCTTTACTGGAATTGGATTCAAGTGCAAAGCAGTAAACTGGCCAACTCTCATATAGCCAATCTCCTACTACCGAATGATGAAGCTCTAACAACCTATTCAGATTCTATCTATCTCAGGTTGCAGCAGAAATCAAGGAAAGCTGATCAGACTTCAATCAATTCAATAAAACATGCATCATTCGATTAAAACCAAACAGTATAATCATCCCAAACAGTATAATTCATACCCAAGTGAGAAAAGGGTTCTACTCCATAGAGAGAGAGAGGAAAACAAAAAACAGAGTAGTCATACTCATAAAGATGAGGAAAATCTGCTCTGGGATGTCAATCTTCACTCCTAGGGACGCAATCTGGGCTTCAATGGTGAGAAATCCACTCTAAATAGCTCCTAGGGTTTGTTCTTCGCACTTTCTCTCTCTAAAACTCTGTTTTTGCTCCGAAAATCCGATTCTCTCACTTTTGGCCCGAAATTGGGTAAAAACCAGAAAATCCCGATCACACGGGCAGGCCACACGGCCGTGTGGCATATCCAGTTGCCCGTGTGAGATCAAAACGGCGCGTTTCCAATAATTGCACTTCAGGCTACCTACACGGCCAGGAACACATGGCCGTGTGGCTCACCCTGTTTGCCCGTGTGAAACCTCGCAGAATCCCACACGGCCAAATTGCAACTTCACACGGCCGTGTGGGAATTATTTGTGGCCGAGTGAAGGCTCGCACAATCTCACACGACCACATTGGTTACTTGCACGGCCGTGTGGGTTTTGTGTGTGCCCGTGTGGCTTCCTCAGCGACTCGCCGCGCGTCCGATCTTTGTCCAATCGACCCCGAACTCGCTCCCAAGCCTTCATTCACTTACTAGGACCTGAAATATCACAAACAAGCACAACCTAGCGTGAAATCAGCCTAAAACACGAGAATCAACACCTCAAACGGCTCCAGAATAGGGGTAAAAACATGTGCAATTAACGGTTTATCAATTACTCTTCTTGGCAGAGAATTATTAAATGAAAAAATCATCATTCAATTTGAGTTGGAGTTGGAGTAGAGAGAGCTGAGATTGTTGAATTCATATTTGTTTTACAGATAGAGTTAGTGTGCAGAGAGCATGTACTTTTTTTTCTCTTTTAGTTGTAGATGGGAGGCTAAATTCACCTATATAGCCAAAACTTTGACGTTTTTGCCAAATATAGCCACTTTTGGAGAAATACAAGAAATAGCCACTTCTGTCCAATTGTACGACGCCCCCTCTCCAGATCGGCGTTGGTAGTCGTCGACGACGGCGAAAGCCTTTCCAATCCACGAACCCACCACGAGAAGCAAAACCCCTTTCCTTATTTCCGATTCACGAACCCTAAATCCTTTCCGAGACTCCCTCCATCGAATCGGCCATGCATCACGGGGTTTCATAGATCCTCTCCACGTTCCGGCGACGCGATTCATTGTTGGTGAGGGGAAATCGACCATTGAAGGCGAAGATTCCCAAGATGAAGTTGCCGGTTCAAAACCCTAATCTTGAAGAATCTTGATTTTCGACGAAGGGCAATTTTTGGGCTTCTTCCTTTTAGTCGACTGGTAAGTGTCGAGTTATAATCACTGGCTCCGATGAGATGGATGAGATGGATTTTAAGTGCAGTGTTGTAAATTTTGCTTGGTTTCTTCCTTTTATAGTTCGGACCTGGTATTAAAGTCAGAAAGCGACACAAAGGGGTCTACTCGGGACCACTGGAATTCTTCTCTTCGCGAGTTTGCCCTTGAATTCGAAGGTAAACAACTGGAAAGCTACTGGGCAAAATCGTCATTGGCTTTGGAAAACCGTAGGATAGTATAATGTTTGTTGGTGATGATTCCTTTGTTGTTTACTGATTAAAAACGCATTAACATTGTGATTATAATAGTAATTGTGATTAAAATAGTATTTGAATGTGTTTTCCTTATAACAGATGGGGACTTCAATGGAAGAGAATGACCCAAACCAAGAAGGGAATTCTGCTGATTACCTATCAGCAGACGGAGGAACAGTTGCTGCTTCTGTGGCTCGACCAATGATCCATGTTTACGACTCCGATGATGCTGACACCTCCGACGATGAGTACCATGAGGCAAGGAACAACCTTCGGGCATATGGAGAAATGAGGAAGAGAATTGTGAGAACGAGGGCTGATGGTCATGGGGAGGAGGTGGAACAGTTGGACGAGTTTGAAGAGGTTGAATCTAATGAGGAGGAATTTGAGGAAGAGGTTGAAGAAGCCGGGTTTGATGTGAATGAAGAGGAGGTTGAAGTTTCTGAAACTCAACAAATGCACCAACTAAGCAAGCACGTAAGAAGACAAGTAATCATTCGAGCTACAGAATTTCCGAGGAGTCTGACCACGTGCGAGGTAATATATTTGATGAGGCTAGTGCTGATGTGTTCGACAACGCACCACACTACGATCCTCAGTGTGAGGGTATGTTCGGGTTTGTCGCTCGCATGAGATTCAAGGATCCTGACCAGTTTAAGAATGCGGTGGTGAAGCATTCTGTAGCAAATGGGGCAGGTTTGAGGTGGACAATGGTTAACCCTACGAGGAGGGAAGTGAAGTGTAAGAACGAGAGCTGTAAATAGGAAGTGTATGCAAGCTGGTTTAGGAAGAACCAGACTTTGATGGTAAGAAAGGTGGGGCTGCCACATTCATATTCGAGACAGCTTCGGGTGAATCAAGTTAAGGCGAAGTGGATTGCGATGGACATGCTAGAGAGGGCCCCATAGCAGATCATGGGCGAAGTGAAACTCAAGCACAATATCGAGGTTAAGAAAAGGACATGTTACAGGGCGAAAGTGGCAGCCATTGAAATATGAGTACACGAGGCTACGGTGATACTTGAGTGAGCTGAAGAAACGAGACAAGTTAGGCCGCTTCGATCTAGAGGTTGAACCGCATCCCACACAAGAAAAGGTCTACTTTCAAAGGATGTTTGTGATGTTCTCAAAAATCCGAGACGGTTTTCTTCTCGCTTTTCGGCCAATTATCGGTTTTGACGGTTGTTTCTTGAAGGGGGAGGTAGAGGCCATGATTCTTTCAGCGGTTGGGAAGGATGGAAATAATCAGATGTACCCAATCGCCTGGGCAGTCGTAAAGGGAGAGAATGCGAACTCTTGGAGGTGGTTTGTCAACATTCTCTCTCAAGAGCTGGGGTTAATAGATGGTAGGGGCTGGGCAATCATATCGGACCAACAAAAGGTTAGACTCATAACAACTTACTCCCTTTTTTGTTTACTTACTTCCTAATTTGTTTAACTTGCTGCCCATCCTTAACTGTTTTATTGTACTTGTAGGGTCTGATTGAAGCAACTCATGAGCTGTTACCGGATGCAAAGCATCGCAAGTGTGCCCGCCATGTTTATGCGAATTGGAAGGCAAAGAACAAAACTGACCGGGTTCGTGATCTATTCTGGAAGGCAGTTTATGCTTGCAATGAGAATGATTGGAAGAAGGCCACCAAGGAAATGGAGACAATTGAAGGTACCGAACTTGGATCCACACCCTTTACTGATTTCATGGCTGCCGAACCCCGTTCCTTTTGTCGAGCATTCATGTCGACAATGTCTAAGTGTGATAGTGTTGAAAGCAATATCTGTGAGACGTTTAATGGGACAATTGTGAAGTATAGGGGCTTGAGAATAATCGACATGCTAGAGGGTATTAGGTTGTACATTATGGATAGGTTCGTAATTAAGTACAACATGCTGATGGACACCCCGGATATGCTGTGCCCTAGAATTAGGAAGAGTGTAGAGAAAGTAAAGGAATTTGCTAGGTTGTGCATTGCTAGGCAGACATTGGCGGAGAAGTGCAAAGTGAAGATGGGTGAGAATGGCTACATAGTGGACCTAAATGATATGAGCTGTACATGTGGATACTGGCAATTGAGTGGGCTGCCTTGTTGCCATGCTGTCTCGGCAATTTCACATATGAGGAAGGAGGTGGACGATTATGTACATCCTTGTTACAAGGCCCACCATGTCGAGGGAGGCTACAGGGTTGGAATCCCTTGCTTAGATGGCAGGCAAGCTTGGCCAGATGTTATTGGTCTTCCAGTTCATCCGGGAAGGCCTAAGAAGAAGTGACGAAGGGCTGCTCACGAGTTGGAAACGAGACCTCAACGGAATGGAGTTGGCGAGGAGGTAACTAGAAGGGGGAGTATCATACATTGAAAGAAATGTGGTGTTGAGGGGCATAACTCGAGGGGCTTCAAATCTACAGAAGCCGAGATTCAGGTATGCATGAGTTTGAGTTGTACATGTAATAGTGATAACATAGGATTTGCACATGTTTGCACCCTCGTTTCTTGATAATTTTGGCTTGAGTTTCTGCTTTCTTGGACTATTTTACTCTAGGTTGTGTTCCTTTGTCACATTTCAGGTCCTAGCATGTGAATTGAAGAATAGGCGCAAGTTTCAAGTCAATCGGAGATCATTTGGCAATTCGGGAGAAGAAACACGAGCATGACCTGAGGAATAATGGAAAAATAATCATGGAATTTTGTCATGAAAAGAAAGAGGACAAGACTATGAGCGTCTGGGATCAAACGGCGACTGATTCGGAGTCCGGACGAGGGAGAAACGAAGCATTAAACAGAGGCTGAGCAAGCCACACGGGCACACCTAAAAACCCACACGGCCGTGTGACCTGGCCATGTGGCCGTGTGGGATTTACCGAGCACTCACACGGGCATCCTGGGGAGCCACACGGCCGTGTGGCCCCTGCCCGTGTAGCTTGCCTGGTTGCCCATTAATCGAAACTCCGCATTTTGGCACTCACACGGGCAGCTGGGTAAGCCACACGGCCGTGTGGCCTGGCCGTGTGAGTCGGGAATCTCTGGTTTTAAGCCAAATTTCGAGCCAAAGGAGAGGAGAGTTGGGTTTTGGTTCCCAAACACTCAAGGGACGAACCCTAGAGAGAGAGCGACTTGGGAACATTCTTGGAGCTATTTTGGAGGATTTCTTCGCCATTGGAGCTCGGGAATCAAGCTTGGAGATTGAGTTTGAAGACCTAGATCAGATTTCTGCAGTCTCTCTCTTCTCTATGGAGTAACTTCCCTTCACTTAGGTTTTGAGGAACCCTAGTTCCATATGTTAGGATCTTTCTTGTATGAAGTTTTGGATGCGATATTGTGTGATTATAATCAATTGAGGCATGATTTATTGAGTCAATTGAATCCTGATCAAATTCTCTTGATTTCTGCTTTAACCTTTGATAGATAGAATCTGATTAGGTTAAGAGAGCTTCCTTGATTGATAGTAGTGAATTGGTTGTTCGAGAGTCAGTCAATTCACTGCTTTGTACTGGAATTCATTCCAGTAGTGGAGATCTGTGTGAATCGCCTTAGCAGTCTATCCCAATGAAGGCTAGTCGCCTGCCGAGTATTCTTTCTAAGACGGCTTGGTCAGCTTAAGAGATTCCAAGCTAATTTAGGATCTTCCGCAGTTTAATCAACAGTAGACCAACCAAAAGTAATTGCAACTTGGACCAAATTGAGGAGCTAGGGGGAATCATACCTAAGTGAGTTCCCAACTTGTAATTAGTACAGTAGTTTATAAATCAATACCTAGTTCCCAACTTGTAATTAGGGGGAATCATACCTAGTTTGCTAGATAATGAACTGAAGCTGAGTAATAGTAACTCTAGAGACCCGTGGATTCGATATTTATTACTTGTGCCACTATACTGCAGTCCCTTTCATTGGTTACACTTGGCCATTGTTAGGTGTTGTGTCTTAGCGTGTCAAGTTTTTGGCGCCATTGCCGGGGACTTTCTAGATTATTAGGAAAGGTAGAAGTTTGTTACTTTAGCGTTTTTCTTTTCTTTTCCACCCTTGCTTTTTACTTGGGTGTTTTTGTTTATGTTGGTGCAGATCTAAATCATGGATCCGCATGGCTTCTCCAACCAGTGGGGGTATCCACCACCATCCGAGTGGTATTACCCCGAGACTCCCTGGAGCAATCAAGGAGGAGAAGACTATGGATTCGGGTTCCAGTACCAACACCCTTATTACGGAGAACAATTAGACCTCTGGGCATATCAAGAACAACCTCATTACCAAGAATACTTTCTCCCACAACCAGAAGGGCCATCAGAGCTGGAGTTAGCCATGGAGGCCTTCACGGGCCACTCTGCAGAGCCATGCTACACTTCACTGGAAGATCCGAACAACAATTAAGGCTTCTCGTGGAGCAGTTTGCTCGAGACACTGAGAGATCATGCTCCAAGATGGATCTTCAAATCAAAGCCCTTGCCCCTTCCGATCCCTCATTTCTCCATGAAATGGAGGAGGCTATTCAGCGCTCAGCGAAGCAAACAGAATGGGTGGAGCAAGTTTGCTCACATCTTGCTCAAGATCACCTTTCTGCTACCACGCTAGAAGAGGTGGAGGATGACAAAGGCTACGGGGATGTTGAGGAGCATACAGAAGTTATCACAGAGAACTCCCATGATAATCATGATCAGGAAAGTCCTCTGGTTGCAGATCACACCTTTCCTTATTTCTGCTCTAACATGCTGGGCCCGAGCGAGGAGATGCAAGATGATCTCATTGAAGAAATTACATGGCGACTTGCTCTCAAATCTGTGCTAGAAGAAGAGCAAGAAAGGGTGCAGAAAGAAGTTGTGGAGGATGACGAAAGTGAAGCAGGAGGAGTTCTTGATCATTTCCCAGGGGTGATACCACATGAAGAAGAAAGGGGGGTTGAAGAAGCAATTGGCGTCCAGGCTGAGGACGGAGTTAAGGTGGAAGAGGCCTGCACCGGTTATGAGTTATTTGTGATATCTCCACCGAATTTCGAGGAGCTGCTTGGCAAGGACCCATTTGCAGTGTCTCTTTGCCAGACCAAGGCCACGTCGACATCGGTCCCTCTTGGTGGACGCGATGGTGGCCAATCGATGCTTTCATATCTGGTTTGGGGCAATGAGACGAGAGAAGAGAAGAAGAGGTCTCGAGGGTGGAGACTTCATCTGCATCAAGTGCATGAGCCTTCATCACCTGCCAAACCACATGCTCGTGACTTGAGATTCCACCTCATTGACAAGAACCTCAAATTCAAGGAGGTTTTGGGGTGGACTGAAACTTAGGAGCCATCGTCCAGCTCACGACGTGAAAGAAGCGCTTGTTGGGAGGCAACCCAACCAATCGGTTTGAATTTCTTTCTCTATTTCTCCTCGGTTGAGTCAGTTTTGTTATTTGATTTTAGAGTCAATAACTCAACCTTTGTGAGATTTTATGTGGTGTTTGTGTTCTGATTACTCTCTCTTCCTGGAATGCACCGCCTGCCCCGTCCATCATCATTCACCCTTGATCTGGTAACTTCGTTCTACCCTCCTTATCTTTCCTCCATTGAGGACAATGTCGTGCTTAAGTGTGGGGGGATGTTCGATTATGTATGCGGGTGAATGTTTGGTTGTTTGTGTGCTTGGAGCCTAGTCCACTGTATAAATTTTATTTTAAATTTGAGGGCTCCAAGTACGTGTTTACTTGCAAATTGCCTGGTCAGTATGCTTTGAATTGACCGTCTCTATAGTAATGTGCAACCTAGGGAGGTAGTGTAGCACTATGGAGGATGTTGAAGTATAAGATTTTTCCTATCTAGCTCTCTGCTATGCCAGTTGATTTTGTGAATTAGTAGAGCTAAGACCGTTGAATTCATGTGGTAATGGTGACTCTGTTTGGATTGTTGGTCCCGTTGTGTGGTGTTTATGTTCTGATTACTCTCTCTTTCTGGAATGCACCGCCTGACCCGTCCATCATCATTCACCCTTGATCTGGTAACTTCGTTCTACCCTCCTTATCTTTCCTCCATTGAGGACAATGTCGTGCTTAAGTGTGGGCGGTGTTTGATTATGTATGCGGGTAAATTTTTGGCTGTTTGTGTGCTTGGAGCCTAGTCCATTGTCCAAATTTGAGATTTGAGGGCTCCAAGTAATGATGTTTGCTTGATCATATTGGCACTGTGGTTTTAATTGGTGAATTGAATGGTTTTCGACTTAATGCATGACAACTGAGGTGTGACTAGGACAACCTATAATGATGGCTGAGACATGTAGTAGAATTGTGTAGGGGTTTAGTTTTTCAACTGTTTGCTTACCAACTGTGACTTGGATTGATCACTTGTTCTTGACACTCGGTTATGCATCTAGTTCAGGGAATCAGAATGAGAGATAGAGCATATAGGTAGCCATGTGAGATTTGAGCCTGCTTGTTTCTTTCTTGTGCGATAGTTCCCTCTTCCATGATGTGTAGCATTCACGTTGTCATTAGCTAAGATGATGGAGGCATAGGATTAGCCCACGACCAAATTGACTGTCCTGATTTGTCATATCCTCTAGTCAGCCCCTTTGAGCCGTGTGTTATCCTTTCTTTCAGTCTACAATGAAAAATCACCCTTTTGCATCTTTTAGAAGGTTCCACAGAGTGGTTTTTACATGTTCTCTGCTGTTTCTGCTAAATATAATGTGAGGGTTGGAGGTAGTGCTTAAAAGTTGGGCATATGTTTGAAATATGTGCAGAGGTGGTGGTTCTGTTAAGGAATGAAAAAAAAATGAAAGCAAAAGAGAGCCACTACCAAAAATCTGAATAGTGCCCATCAAGTAGTGTTTCTTAGCAGTCTGGCTTGGAAATGCTGACATTTATATAACCTTCTTCGCTCGTGTGCTCGTAAAAATTTGAGTAATGCAGAATGGCAGAAAGAAAGTAAGTGGTTTGATTGACTGTGATTGTGTTGGGTTTGGAATTGTGGAACCTTGTGCTACGAATACTTCCACCACCTAAAAGGCCCTTTCCCCATGTCCAAGACCCTAGCCAATCATCTGAACCTGTGTCTAAGACCTCCGGATTAGTTAGTGGTGACACCTCATATGTGAACTCTAGCATTTAGAGGCTGCCGTCATGGTGACGAGATGTTAGGGATTGAGAGAATAAGCATGCGCATTTTCTCATATTGTCCTGACCCCACTGGTCGAGAGTGAGCGATTCATTTTCTCATATTCTCTATACTCTTGTACCCCGGTGAGGACCTAGATTGCTCGGTCTCTATTCTGATATCTTGAGTTTTGTGCATGAGGTGACTGTCTTGAGTTAGTGGTTGAGTCAAGTCTATGTTGATTGATGAACAGAAGGGAGACTCCTCCTTTACTCGATTTTGCTTCACTCGAATGTCCTTTGTGGTGGTTGTCCAGGTTGTG